GACATTAAGTTATGCGCCTATTAAAGAAACGAAAAAGTAGAATATATTACGAAGGGTGTTTCCTTTCATTAAAAAATCACGAGGAAGCCTATCCGAAGGATTAATTCAGGCGAGGACACTACATCCGGAGTTTTTAAGAGGGTTCTAAATGACTCGACAGAAGCGGGAAATTTCCATAGAACGGAAGCAACTTTGACACTCGAAGCTCCATCAGCAAAAGCCCGAAGAACTAATACCGTCTTCACCATATGCAGAATTTGAAATCACGAGGATACAATGGAAATTTCCCTAAGCTGAAAAGTCTAAGGAAAGAATGACACGTTACTTCTTCTAATTAAGCAGTCGAAGAAGGTGACATCACCGGACACTAGGTTTTGCCCTTTTTCTTTTAGCTACTATAGACGGTTGGGTTTTAAAACCAGGTCATCTATCACTCTCTGGCCCACCTGCAGAGCATTCCTCGTACATCATAGCAGGCAGCCGTCATTGTGGCATCGTTTAATATTTATACACTAGATACTTGTAAATCCCCACACGGGAGTTAAAACACCATTAAAAACAGCACTTTTTTTCTGAATCTACGGAATCCCGGAAGTGGAAATTCCCGCCAGAGAAAGATTTATCGTCACCCTTACTTTACTATTGGTCGAGGGAGCATATCATACATTCAACTTTAGACTAGGGTGTGGAAATATTCTCATCTGAATTAGAACACTTTTACTCAATTCTATTCTTAGATATAACCCAAAACGCGCATAATACATGATAAAAAGTTATCTTCTATTCACGATTAATACCTATCCTCTAAATATTGAATTATTAAATCTAATTCTAGAACGACATTCACAAACCAACTGCTTAGTACATAGTTATAAGAGATGCTCATGACTCCACCTTTAGTTCCATTATAAATTTCGATCGTTGGCTTTAATCTGAAATTTCTTCCTTTTTCTTTAATTTACTAGCAAATATGTAATACCATTATCTTCTCATCCCAGTTCCGAATTCTATATCATCACGATTATAGAGTTACTTTATTTTATTGAGTTTTCTGTTCTCTACAAAAACTTCAATTTATTTGGGCTTTAGAACACTTAATAACCATGAAAAAAATTACCATGATTAGAAAGTTATGGTGACATAAATATTCTATTATTTAAGTGAATAATTCTTCATTAATTCGGATTAGTTTTTTAAGCTAAATCATTTAAATACTTACAGTAAACTTCATTTATTCATTTAAAGAACGAAATGTGTTTGAAATTTAGATAAAAAATTGGAAAATCATATTCCCGAGAGATTTAATGGAAGTAGACTTACTTTTAGGGAATAAATTAAAATTCCATTCAAAAATACAAACAAAAATCATTCTATCCTAAATTTATTAGATGTCACATGAAGATTTGATGAAAATTTTGATTTTATTTTATGACGTCAATAAATTTTATACTTTATTTGTAAAGATTTATCAATAGATCTTTCTGCAGTAACCGGAAGATTTCTACGTGCTGTAAAAATGTTCCCATCTTTATCGGACTCTTCGAGAAAGAGCAGGTTTATTCTATTATAAACTAGTAATTCCATTACATCATTTTGCCGCACGAAAATATTGATTAATGAGCCAACTTAAAAAGTTATAAATGTTTGAATCCTTAGCAGCTGCCACGTTTCAGACAAGACAGTGCCGACTAGATTGCGTCGTCTAAGTGCTTGATTCAAGAAAGTATTAAGCTTAAGAATATAGCGTAGAAAATCACCTTTACTAAGGAGAATTTGAAAGTAATCGAAAGAAAAAAAAAAGCGTACAGCCTACTGACCCGACTCTATTCCATTAGAAAGGATTAGGTATTTTATGAGGTCTATCTATCTTATATTTCATTACTGATCCAGTAGTTATATAAAATATTCAGATGTCGTTGATGTAGAGCGGCTCTTCCGAACCCACTATAAAAGGTTAGCCACATTTAATTGTCTGGTGCCTGCTTGTCTGGACAAATCAGAATGGATTATCGCTAGGGGATGAAGTTTGATTTATCCAGGAATTTTTCTCTTCGTCGTTGCGTATATTTCTAGATGATTACACTGAATTATCGCAAGAGAGGAGTAATCTACTGGAGTTAATTATCTGGCGCTATAATTGCGCCTCAAAATTCTATATTTCAGCGCAGTTCGGTTTATTAAGTGTGTTGTTATGAAAATACTGTTTGGAGAAATTTAATTATATTTTGTGTGGTTTGTGGATGAATTTTATTAAGGGGGATTTCATCCGTGTTGCAGGAAGTTTTCAAGACTGAGACTAACAACAACCGAATAATCTCGTGTAAATTTATTTGTTCACCCAGACGAGAAGTTTGTAAAATTTACGCAAATTAATTACATTTTATAGATTGTATTTGTAACCTTAACTGCGTTTATCAGCAAGGCCGATTACGTTCTTCTTGTTCGTCAAAATTGATTATACGTTCTGTGATCATTGACAGTTTTTAATGTTAGCGCATAGAAAACTTTCCATAACTGAAACTAATGACGGAAAGAAAAAAGAAATAAGGTCGACAGAAAACTTCCCTTCCATCAACAGCAGATATCGTTGTTTGAGAACCTAATCCTACAATCGAACTAGACAGAGGACGGTATCCAATAACAGGCAAGTAATTATGAAGACCACAGACAAAGACATGACCTGACTTAAAAGTTGATATTGCAGGAAAAGACACAAGAGTAATACTAAGCTCGATTCCTATAACTTGAATTAGTGTAGGAATTTTATCATCCGCAACTACGATGTCGTCTTTGAATATTTTCAATTCATACGTTAATAATAAAGTTAACTTCAGCGTTTTTGCTTATCCGACTCAGGAATGTTATCAAAAGAGATTTATTTTAGTTTAAAATGCATTTCCGTGTAAACAGACGCTTTTACTTAGCTATTTTGTTTCGTGATGTCGGTCACTCTTAAAAATAGCAAAGAAAACTTCGGAAAAGCCCAGGGTCGTTCATGGCCTAAAAGTATGTCGCCTAAGACAACATTTCCAGTGGATTTCACATCGTCCTTCCTTCTTTTCCGAATTTAACCCTAATGGGAAATAATATCCCCCACAGAATCCACAAAAAATGTTCCATCACAGTTGCAGCGTTTCTCATCCGCTATCTCTTTCTGTCTGATGGCAAACGCACGTTCCATCAAATCTATCTCGCTTGAGAGACGGGATTTTTCCCTATCCTATCTCCTTCTCCCTGGACACTCAAGGGTCTTTCATCCTCCACTGGCTCTCACTTGTTCTAGGATTGACTTTTGTCTCACCCTCTTCGATATCTGCTTTCTTTTAGAATCGACTGCGAAACGTTGTCTCGCCGCGTTTACTGTAATGGTACAACTCTCCTGTTGTCGAAAACATGCTCCAAACTTTTTCATTAGTCATTCTACTTTGCATTCGTAAAGTTATTCTGTTATTGGCTATGATAAAAGTTCTCCGTTTTTTATTTTTTTTCCAAGATATTTTTACAGCTTTCAAAAACCAAAAGTTATTATTTGTTAATCAACATATTTTTCTATATAAATGTATTAATAATGTTAATTTTTTAAACAAAAGATTAAAATATCACATTAAATAGATATAACTTAATAAATTAGCTAAGCCTACCTATATTTTTAAAAATTTTTTTAAAGTTATCTAAGGATATTAATCGTTAAAGTTTACATCGATCTTAAATCCTTCGATAGCTAAAAAAAATTGCTATCATAAAAAGTCGATAAGCTTATAATATAAATCAGAAATGAAAAATTCATGTAGAATGTTGGTTTCGATTCTAATTTATGAGATTGATCTACACTTTAAACTGGTTTGAATCTGCAAAATTCTTGAAATCTAAATTAAAAATGCTACTGAAAATAATTTCTTGGATCTATTTCATTATATTTTCTTTATTATCAATAAAAGTATAGACTTTGCAAAATATAGTTCATCATGGATAAATACTGTTAATAATTTCATGCAAATTAATTCTAACAAAAATATTTTGGCTGAACTTCTTTTACACTAATCCTACAAAAAAAAAAGGGATTAAAATTACACATTTGTTAAGAATATTTTTAATTTCTCGTTTCATAAATTGTTTTATTATTATTATTGCAAAATCATGATAACTTGTATAAATAATATATTCACAGAAAATCTTCCATAAAATAAAAATATACATACAGTATTCGTGTTTAAAGTTGCGACATGTCATAAATTATGCTAGAGGTTTAACTATAGAATATTCATATCTAATTTTCTAGAAAGAGAATCAACATGTACGTACGTTTAAGAAATAATTTTATATTCCTTAAATAAATGGTAGGACACTTCAATTGATGCGTACACTTAGGATTTCGATTTCACCAAAACTTTAAAATTGAGCTCTACAGATGCAAACAATACAGTAATCGAAATAGAAACTCAAAGTGCTGACACTAGATTCTTCAAATATCACAAACAAATACGCTTGCTTTTAGTCAGTCAAACTCGATCTTCAAATTTTTATATTTAGTTTGTACGACTTAACAAGGCCATTTTTGAATTTTGATTACGTTCGCTCCTGCGGAATTATAAAGGTGACAAAATAATCCAGACAAATACTTCGCCCAAAGCCATGTAGATTTATGTTAAAGTCGTTGAAAAAGTGTTGGCAAATGATTCGCTGACAATGGGCTTATTTATTGAATTGAAACGATGAGCAAGTTTAGAATGTCACATACGATGTTGGATGATAGATGGATATTCGATCGATTCCATTCAACTTCTATTTCACTTTAAGAATTTAGAAAAAATATAGTTTCGACATCTCTGTAAGTCCCAAGAGATTTAGGATGTATCTTTAAAGTGGATCATTGATTCCGACTGTAAAAAGTACCCCGGAGCCTTTATTGCCCCGTTGTTAGTCAATTATCCTATGTCCCATTATAGTTTCAAAGAAATCGTACCAAGATATAACGTAGTCTTTTTCTTTTTTTCTTTCAGGTCTGGTTTAAGAATAGACGAGCAAAATGGAGGAAGCGAGAACGAAATGCAGCAGCTGAACTAAAAAACGGATTCGGTACACAGTTTAATGGACTGATGCAACCTTTCGATGATAGTCTTTACTCCGGTTATTCCTCTTACAACAATTGGGCATCCAAAGTGCCAAGTCCGTTGGGTGCCAAGAGTTTTCCGTGGCCAGGACTAAATTCGGTGAATGTCAATCCCTTGTCGACAGTCGTACCGAGTCAAGGAATGAGTTGTTTCAACACGTCATCACCAGGCATCACCAGTTCCAACATTATGCCCAACGTCAATATGCCGGCCGTCAATAGCTTGAGCAACCCTACCCCTCCTTGTCCTTATGCAGCGGCCACACCACCCTACGTTTACAGAGAGCAGTGTTCCTCTATGTCGTCGAGCATCGCTTCCTTGCGGTTGAAGGCGAAGCAACATACGGCTGCCGGTTTCGGCACTTACCCGCCCATGTCACCCAGACAGACCCCGACGCTATCACCCTGCCAATACGCAACCGTTGATAGACCAACTGTTTAGGTTACGGAATATGTGGTGTTGTGTGTGTACAGACAATGTGGACAGCAGCATTTACCGTCGTCACCTAGAATGGCAATAATCCATGACAGTTAGGCCTAGCGACTCTATTCAATAACCATCTGTTAAAAAAGCCAAAAAATGTGGCATTCGGCAACTGCTGACCTTCGTTTTATCTAGCCACTCACAGTAAAAAGGGGGCCGTCAAAACCGTGTCAGTAGTCTAGTCAGTCGAGTCTTTTGGGTAGATTTTAGTTGACACTCGTGAGGCGGCGTCCAACTGGGCGCTTTAATAGTAACCAATCCTTCTATTCGAACGCGACAAAGTTATTTATTTGTCTCATTCCTATTTCCATAGAATCGGCAAAATGCGAACTATTTTGCAAAAATATAGCTCAGACTATATATATAAATAAATATATATATATATATAAAGTTTCGCACAAAGAAGCGGAAAAGAGTGCATGACTACGTCCTGATATTGGCCTACACACTTCAGTCTCGGCTTTCTGTATTATGTAGCCTCTAATTCTGGTTTTAACCCGTTGAAGTTTCAGAGTGTTAGAAGCTTTGAAACATTCCGGACGTTTTATGCCAAACTTGCATTTCTTTCGAGAAGTGATTGTGCATCAAGATTAATCCCAAAGTGGACTGGAGTGAAACTCTACTAACGCAAATATAACTTGTATTATGCAAAGAGTCGACAAGTATTTAATGAATGTTCGGAGATTGTCCGAAGGTGAGGCATTTACCATTACGTTCATTCTCTATGTATTTTGATGGAAATCACCAATCCGGTGCGAGTGTTGGCGACTTTAGGGCCAGTTATGCCAACGCCAACTGAATATATTCGGTAGAATCTCTGAAGAACTTAAAAAAAAAAAAAAGTTAAAAAAATTCCATTCCAATATGTCTCGCCTCGTCAACTATAAACAAATTTCGGAAACAAAAAAAAAAGAGAAAAACAAATTCTATTTCTCTATAGTCAGACTGTTTAAGTGTCGCAATTGTCTTCTGTAAAACCTTTGACAAAATAAATGGTTCTAAGATCGGGAACTTCGCTGAATCTGTTGCTCTAATAATTTATTGCGTCGAATTATATGTTGAGACATCGGGATTTGTTTCGACTCGAGTCTTATCGCCATTAAATCCTACCAAAATCCGACCTTACCTATCTAATATCTTTTTAAAGCGAATTCATGTTTATAACGTCGTAGAATAAGAATAATTCTAATTGGCATACAAGAGAACACTTTATTTTCTCGCTTTCGCCATTATGAGCTTGCTGCTATTGAAATTAAAATTCGCGATGAGAATTACTTTACATAAACTTCAATTTTTAAAATAATCGTTGTTATTTTATAATAATGCATTTAAAAATTTATCTGATTTGTTTATATTTGTCGGTTATAAAATTCAGTTAAATTCACACTCGGCTTCATATTAAAGAAATCTTATATTCGTACATTTGCTGTTATTGTCACACAGGCTACGTAAAAAAATATATTATGTAAAAATTTTACATTTTAAAATGATTTAACTTCTTTTAAAGCAGTTTAATTCATCATTTATGATTTAAAATGTATTTATTTGTTGCTTATAAAATTTGATTCAAGCTTTAAATTCACGAGTCCACCTCAATTATACAATTGCCAGCACTACTTGTGAAAAGTGAACATTTAATGGAAGAGTTTAATATTTTTAGGAGAATTTCGTATAGATTATGCCACTGAAAATGTCAATTATTAATCTTAAATAGAGCTGGAGTAGACGTGGAAACGGGAAAGAGTCAAAAGTTGTAAAGAAAGATGGCGAACTGCAGATCGCCGCAAGAGCGTTCACGTGAAGACGATTGACATATCGCACTCTGACACTGCTCATAATTGGGTCTCGCTTCATTTCTCTGCAGTCGTAAGGCTTAGTTACAGTTTAATGAAGCTCATCTACGCCGCAGCGGGCACAGTTAACCTCGGTCCGGTTATCCTTGGTATTAAAATGTCAAGCAGTACAGGGGACGGAGCGCTTCACTGGATCCTATTGTCTCTCTTACCTCACTGACACGTTCATTTCGACAGTCTTGCTGACTCTGCTAGCTGAGGGTTACTCAGCCGTGGCCCTGCGTCTGTCAACCGTCTGAAGTCTGGGCCATAGCCTGTACCCTAATCATCCTCGGAGAGCTAAACTATAGGTGACGTCTTAGGCTTAGCCGATTGTATGAGTCAGTTAGTACTGTTCTCGTGGGACAGAGGGCGCTTGGGCGAATTGAGAGTCCACAAGACTGCGAGCACTTATCTTTTGTGCCAGGTAGTTCTCTTATGGTTCACTTGTCTCGTTGATTGCTGGTCCGGGGTATTAAAAACGATATCTGCTTGCCAGAAATGGGATGATTTGTTCGACAACTTATATTCTAGCCAAAGCCTCGCTTCTTCGACAACCAAAGATGCATTCTTTTCTTTTCATCCACAGAAATAATGCATAATCTACGACTGTTTAAACATTAAAAAAAACTAAAAAAATTAATAAAAAAGAAAATAAGGATCCGGTGTCGAAATCAATTCTATCCACTATTCAAAAACTAGCGGGGCGAATTTTTTCTAAAAGATTTTTCATATTTAATCTCGGCAAATTGTATCAAAGTAATCCTTTAGTAAATCTCCGAGGATCTTTTCGTCATATTGCAACAAGGGTAGACAAGAAGCCAAGTCGAAATGCCATTTAACAGTTATAAATTCTACCAATTAAGAAAACTCGACCGTTGTCACGGTGTTGTGATCACGTGGATTACACTCCCGGTGACGTCACAAAATTCATCTGTTAGAGAATTACATTACAACCACTACTTGGTGGACAAACTTCATCATTCCTCGGATTATATTCCAATTCTGATTTAATGATAATTACTTACTTCGAATCCAATGCCCACGAGCGTAGAAAGAAAACAATTAGTCCTTATGTAAACACCACTTTAAATAATTACCTAGCATCTCTTCCGCTTTACAAAAGAAAATATCAAGACAAGGTCAAATTTAAGGTTGAGTTAATATCGCTTCTTCTCCAGGCCGTAGAATTTAACAGGAAAGAACGCTTGGCAGGCAAAACAAATAAACTTGGAGAATTTAATGACTACTCCGAAATTTATTTTTATTTTTCATTTTTAACTTTAATTAATATTTATGCTATTTAAAGTTCGTTTACATTCTTTTACCATTTAATACAATCAAACGTGAATTTTTATACCGTTCGATTACGTTTATATTTTTTAAATGAACCTTTAAAAAAACGAAAGGTTTTAAATAAGTTCGAGTCAGTTTTAGTGGTTTATTAAAAGAGTTTTGTGAAAATACTTTAATGCGTATCGAATTTTAATGTTGATTATCGGAAGTGTGCAGCGTCCCCGCCTAAATTGACAGAGTTGTTCCATCAATTCTAATTAACGGAGACTTGGTGAGAAGCGCAGCTAACTGGATGTTGAGAGAAATAAAAGGAGAAAGACAATTAACGCTCCAGTCAGAAAAGATGAATTGTCTCAAGTTTCGCCCAAATAATCGCGTTTTCCCCATTTGGATTGTTTAATTTAGATTAGAATTTTTTAAGATTTTAATTCATTATTTTAACCTTTCGGGATTTTGGAGTACGAGCGTGATTAACAAATTTGAAAATTACACATTAATATTTAGTTCGTTCGTTCGTTAACGAAATGACATTGCTTCTCGATTATAAATAAAATCTGAATACCTTTTTTTTGTTCTAGATCACTTCCCTCGATTTCTCCTTTCATCTAGTCAGATTGCTCGATAATTTAAACATTAAAATTATTCAAATTTAAAACACAGAAAAGAAAATTAAATATACGGATAACATGTATCAAACATTTCCAATTAATAATTCAAATTCCAGTTAATATAACAAAAATATTTATTAATTTAAAGAATAATTTATTTGAATTAACGTGTATATAAATTAATAGCTAGTATGATATTTATATATGTGTGACATGTTTTAAATGCTGATAAGACTACTTAAAGCTAGTCTATATAGGCCGATAATTCGTTTATCATATAATTAACATATCAACATACCATTACATCTTTATCATCAACTAAAATTATTTCTAATATGCACGATCCAATTATTAAGTTAATTATTTATTATAAAAATCTCATTATCATTAAATTAATTTCATATGTGATCGAATTTAATATATTCAAATTTAATAATTATTATTATTTCGCGTAGAAATTAATATTAAAAATTATTAATATAATTAGAAATACGTAAAAAGAACGTTAAATGTCAAATCTTATTTTAAAGATTTATTCTAATTTTATCATATAAATGAATTTAGAAAACGAATTCGAAACAAAATTAATCTTGACGATTATTATATTTGCATCTCAACATTTATTAATTATTTAAAGCAATAGTTTCTGTTAGCAAAATTTATTAAATTTCTCATTCTCTAAAGATAAGTTTATATTCTAATTACGTAGCTGCGCTCCATAATCCAATTCCATTTATCTACTTATAGATTTAAAGTAAACTTACGCATCTTAGAGAAGAAACAGAATTTCTGTCGCATCATGAAACAAATTTTCATCATTACGGCGAACCTATCTACAATCAGATAGCAAAACTTTGTTCTTGACACAATTTGTTAACTCTTCGGCAAATTATTTTAGATAAAATGAAACCCACTTTTCTGTATATAATACAGTTCACATAATCTGTTGCAACAGATTCTAGAAACTAACAAACTTACGATATATTTATATAAGAGCGAATGACTGATAGAAGTTCCTGCATTAACCTAGTAAATAATAACGCTCGTTAACATTGTTTCTCTTATATTCTCTCGAAAGTGTGCGTTTGTGTGTGTGTGTGGTAAATGTCGGGCCGATATAAATTGTGCAGCGCTTCGGACACTGATGTATGTTGGACCGGGGGACTTAAGACCCAGGATTACTCGCTGTCTGTCAGGCCGGAAATTCTGTCCACCATTAGCTTCAGTTGTTTGTTCTGTCTTTTCTCTTAAGTAAGACAAGTAACAGTCATTACGCGAAATCCAACTGGTCTGACTCTAAACGTTCATGTAAATGAACCGTGAAAACAATTTGAATTAATTGGTCATTAAATGTAGTATTTCGAGCGTGTTACTTGAACCTAAGATAGCATTTGTAAAATTCTTTTGTTGGCTCTCCGAGTGTGCCACTGCCATGATCACTTCTCTATTCGACCTTACAAGATTCTCTTTCCGAACTATTACAAAACAAGACTGGAAGGTTCGACTGCACCATTGACATTTTCATAAAGATTAACAATTGTTAATAAACTCCACGTCATAAAAATCTCCATTCGGGATTAACCTTACTTAAATTTGTTTCGTTTATTGTTAAGATTAACAGCACTGGGTTTGCCGTAAAAATAATAAACACCTCTCTTTCTCTTTCTATTAGCCTATATGAAGTTAAGTTTTTCAAAGATTCAAAATGAATTTCATTTTTCTACAATAAAAATGTGTTTGATTCTCGGAAATAAATCTAAATAATTGAAACCAACATTAACGTAAATAAAACTCTTCAGATAACTTTTATTTTTGGAAAAAAATAAATAAACAAATAATTCTATACAGTACACCTTATACAGTAGATTAAAATGTGATTAGATTTAATTCTATCCACATTAAAATCCTATAATGTTTGCTTTATTTCCGAAAACATTAAAATTTAAATAATCTAACGGTTCTTTATTCTACAGATTTTTGAAAAATCTTTATCTACACAGTATGACATTTTATAAAATTCGAAGATAATCCCAAAAAATAATAATATTTCAAATATACATTTATTAAATACCAGTTAAATTCGATCAAAACTAATATCCGGCAATCGACTCTACATCAGGCCTGTGTCTGATGCACGGCACTTCCATCTTCCTCAGCAATCAATCATTACATTAGAGACGCATAATCTAAACTCTCAAATTAGATATTATATGATGTCACCAGTGTAGCGGCAGTATTTTACCCCTCTTCCCTTTTTTACTGGCAACATCGGAGAAGGTATTAGTGAGAAACAGTTGGGTTCACCAATTCTTCCAAAAGAGCGATTTTCTCTATCGGTTCTACCTTTATTACCCAACCTTGACCCTTTATTCGTCCATTGAAGACTGCAATAAATTTGCTGATCAGCCAGACAGAATTACAACAGTCCTTAACGAGAGCGAGCTCGACAAGACGTAACAGGAAGACATAAGACGTCAAAAATCCCCAAAATTGTTGCCCGATTCACTGGACGGATTT